GCCCGCGGGACGTGCGCTCAGGTTCGCGGCCGGCGGTCCGAGCTGGGGCAGGTGAGGGTCGCGGGGGGCGGGGGGGACGGACAGACAGACGCGGACGCGAGCCCGGCTCTCGGCCCCGCTGTAGCGAGCGTTTGCCTCCTGTGAAGGGCCGTGCTGACCGCGCGGCGACTCGCGGGGACGGCGGCGTCCCGGGGGCTCCGCGCGGCCTCACCCTGGACGAGAAGCTGCGGAGCTGGACGGGCCGGAGGCTCCTGCTCCAGACACAGCACCCGGGATGCTGGCGGCGCCCCCCGGCCCGGCCCGTGCTCCGAGACCAGGAGAGCGCCCGCACCACGTCCTCCAGCCCTGGGCCCGAGGGGGAGCGGCCTCCGCGGGGGCCTCGCTGGCCATGGCGGGTCGGGCACCCTGGACGCGTCGCAGAGCACCAGGCGCCTGTGCCCCTTCCCCGCCCTGGGGGCTGCGCACACGGCCAGCCCCTGCATGTCTGAGGGGCTTGCCTGAGCTGCCCCCACGCGCCCCGGGACCCCCACGTGTTACCGCTCCTCTCCGCACACACACCCCCGCACCAGCCTGTCTGGGCTCTAGCCCCATCGCCATCCCCGACACGTGGCGGCCTCGGCGCCTCAGGTGTGCGCAGCCCAACGTCCCGCTGGAGCACGAGGAAAGGCCTCGCTGCCCCCAGACCCCCCTCCAGCGTGGACAGCTGCGTGGGGCGCTCCCCACCGCCCCCCCATGGACATCATTTCTGCCCGGTCTCTGTGTCCGGCCGCTCTCCACGTGCTGCTCAGGGAGATGCCCTGGCCCTCACACATCCTCCTGGGGGAACACTCAGTGCCGTCCCCCAGCAGAGGATGAGCTGTCCACCGGGTCAGGGGCCACACACAACACAGGGACCTTCCGACCACCCCAACCCAGTGTGCGTGTCCTGCATCCACACGCCAGTGGTGCCGCCACCCCTGCAGAGTGGAACCGAGGTCAGCTCAGCAGGCGCTGCAGGATGCCAAGCCCTCAGAGCAGCCTGTGCCCCTACGAGCCCGATGCCCAGACGGCCTCATGGGCCAATGCTTACATCACCTCCCTTTGTGGTGCATGTGCCTTGGGGTGTGGTCCCGTAGACTCCCTGCTGATGTGCTGGGACCCCCAAGTGACATGAGGCTCGAAGCAGCGACCCCACACGGCCTGAGGGTGCAGCCAGACCAGAACTGGCTGTGTGCTGAAGTGTCCTGAGCTTGCACAGGTGGCAGACCTAGGCCCGACTATGTGCAGGCTGTGGTGCCCGTCCCCACACTTGGGGACCACACGGACAGGCCACTGGCACCCTCCAGTCCTGTCTGGTAGCTGGAAGCCTAAGGCAATAAGTGGCACCTCCCACAGTTGTGCCTCACCAGAGATGAGACGTTCAGCGCAGGATGACCCCTTCCAAGGACTTGTCCCCCTGGACTGGCCATGGCCACTGGCCCTGGGAGGGGGAAATGGGGGGGTGAGGGAGGCCAGCACTGAGCTATCCCTTCTTCACAGGTGACCAGGCAAAGTTGCTCTACCTTTTTTTTTTAATATTTTATTTATTCCTGAGAGAGACAAAGTGGCAGAGATACAGGCAGAGGGAGAAGCAGGCTCCATGCAGGAGCCCGTTGCGGGACTCGGTCCCAGGTCTCCAGGATCACACCCTGGGCTGAGCCACCCAGGGATCCCTGCTCTACCTTTCTTGTCTCAAAGTAAGCATCTGCCCAAGGGAGGCAGCTCTGCCAGCCAGGGGGCTGCTGGGAAAGGGGACAGTAGGCAGCCTGCAAACAGGAGTCAGAGAGCCCATGACACGACCGGCCTCACTTGCACCTTCCATGCATCACAGGCTCCCTCCACAGACCTTCATGAGACGGGGCCCCTGTAACTTCGAAGGCTCATATGTTTTAGAAACCTCAAGTCCCTCTGGTGTTGGGAGCTGCTTTATGGGTCTCACCTTCCCTGAGACCTCAAGCCCCCGGGCCAGGTGCCCAGAGGGGCCTGGCATTGTTCACTGGCCACAGAGCTGCGACAAGGAGCCGAGTGGCCCAGCGCGGCCTCCCTGACATTGCCTAGAGAGGTCTTGCAGGCCGGAGCTGCCCTCCCACCCAGGCTGCCCTAGAATCACGCCTTACGTTAATTGCACACGTCAGCCTAAGAGCGCTTGGGTTATTTTTGAGTTGTTTTCAACCTTCCAAATGTTATGTAAAAACACTCTGATTTTTTTATGAGCTCTGATTAACAAGAGAAATAAAAGATTTCTTTTCTGGTTTTCCAGGCCTGGTATTTGCCCACCAGACCATGCAGGGGCAGGAAACGAGTCAGTGTGTTCCCGTGGGGCTACCTGGCTGTGGTCACCATACCTGTTGAGAGCCCTCGGGCTGTGTCTGTGGCCTGGGGGTGCGGTGGGTCTGAGCCCCCCAGCAGTCACGCAGAGCTGCAGTCTTGCCTCAGGCCTCCCTGAGCTGTGTCCTGCTCTCAGGTGGCCCTGGGTGGCCAGCGTGCCATTCGGAAGCCTTTGCCAGCTCAGAGTGGTGGTGGGGGGCAGTGTGCTGGGGCCTTCCCCCCTCCTCCTGAGCCCTCTTCATGGCCCCCCACACACACTGGGTGTTTACTCTCCTGAGCACTGAAATCAGCACTACTGGGGGAGGTCCTGCCACGGTCCCATTGTGCCCACCACGGCCCCCAGAGGCCTAGCCCGCACTGCCCGCCTGCCCAGTTGGCAGGAGCCCAGCAGAGGGGCCCGGAGCGGCTGTTTCTAGGCCACGATGAGCATGTTGGGTCCCACCAGCAGCCCAGTTAGTGGAGCTAATTTCAGCACGGCATCTAGTCTCTGTGGACTGGCTCTGGGTATCTGTAAGGTAGCATCCCCTGGAGGACACGCTATCACTGCCCCCCACCCCATCCAGCGTACCAGGAAGGTGAGAAACCTGGGTCCTCAGGCCCTGGACAACAGTTGTGCACCAGCAGGGGTGCCACACAGCCTTGTGGCCTCCATCACAGGGGGATGTGATCAGCTCGGGGCCACTTCTGAGCCTGGAGAGGCCACGCAGTGGCAGGTGTGGCCGGCGCCCAGAGACCAGAGAGCACACAGCCACAGGAGACACGCAGGACCCTGCACCCCACGCAGCCACCACTGTCCTGACAGTGCGCCCTGCCGCCCAGCTGCCTTCAGGTGTCCCTGTGGTGCACGTCTACACTGGCCTCCCTGTGACAGCGGTGCAGCGTTCAAACCACTTGCAGGGCAGGGCCTGGGAGCAGACCCTAGTCACACCTGATGTGTGACCCAGGTCATGCCGGGGCCTCTTCCAGGGGGCCCTCCAGCTGCTGTCGGACCAAAGCCTGGTCCCGGGGCCCAGTTCTGCCTGTGTGGTCTGAAGAGAAGGCCACCAGATCGGGCTGGCCCGGGTCTCAGCCCAAACCTTGGCCAGTCCCAAGGGCCAACGTGCGCCCTGCCCTAGGCTGCTGCCCCGTGTGCACAGCAGCCCCGGCGGCTAGAGCGACAGTGTTCCAGGCTGGAGCGAGGCCAGCACTGCCGGCCATCTGCCCCTGGGACGACGGCAGTGCCCTGGGCTCTAAGCCCCCCGCCCCCATAAATCCATAATAAAAATAATCCCTCACTTTCCTGATGTGCCCCAGTTCCAGAAGTGCCTCCTGATGCGTCATCGTGTCAACACGTGAGATGGGCCAGGGAGGCACAGCTGACCCCATTTCACAGAATCGCATCAGAGAGGGCTCAGGGGCCCAAAGGGGCAGGGGGCACCCCATTCTGCCTCCAAGAAGACAGGATGACCGTTCGCAGGCCCCCAGCCCAGAGGAGGCGGCCAGAGCTCCTGCCAAAGGCCTGGTCTGGGCCTCTGCGGGGATCGAGGTTGAGTAGCTGGGCACTGCTGCCCCCTGCGGCCACCGTTGCTGCCCAGGGCCCCCCTGCCCAGGATGCAGCCTGGTGCCTGCGTCAGCCGATGGCCCCAAGGGCACAGTTCCCCCGAGAGTCGGGCAGTGGGGCCTGCCACACACACCCAGGGCATCGTGTCTGAGGACAAGGGGATGTGGCCCCATCGCCGATGGCACCTACCCTAAGGGCTGCGAGGGCAGAGCGAGGGTCCCACGCTCGGTCCCATCACGGGCCGGCTGAGGAGCCAGGCAGAGACGTGACAGGCACGCACTGAGGGAGGACACCCCCCTCCCCAGAGCCCCCAGAGCTACTCACCCTGGGCTTGGGCACCCCTGAGCCAGACACCACCCCCTGGGCCTGCACAAGTCTGTTCCCTCCGGGTGAACGGAAACGTGGATGTGCCCCCAGGGCAGCTGCCCGGTCGGCCTGCCGCTGGCCTGAGAGTGGGGGGCAGGCCCAGGTCACCTGGGGGCGACTCAGCTCCGGGGGAGGGCCGCCCGAGGCCCGTCAGTGGGCACTGCCCATCCGTGGGCACTGCCGAGGCCCGTTCCTGCCGTCCACCGGCCGACGACCCCAGCCTGCCGGGGCCTGGAGGGCCAGGGTGCGATCCAAGGGCTGGAAGCCTTTGGTGCCCGGCCCGCGCAGCCCAGGGGCGCACCCGCCCGGCCACGGACTCCGCACTGTCCACCTGGCGTGTGGTCCCCGCAGGCGCCGGCAGGTCCGGGGTAGGCCCGGGCGGGGTGGGGCGGTGCCGGCGGCCCCAGGTGGCAGGAGTGGGCGGGGCCCCGCCGGACTGTGCCGGGCACGGCCGCTCCCGCTCACTTGGCCCGGCCGCGCTCCCCATCACCGGTCCTCGGCCCTCGGCCCTCGGCGGCACCGTCCGAGGTAGGTCTGAGCGGGGCCCCTGCGTGGAGCGGGGCGGAGCAGGGCGCAGCAGGACGGCGGCGCCTCCCGGGGCGGGCCGGTGCCGCCGCGCTGAGCCGCCCGAGCGCCCCCGCCCGTCGGTCCTGCGGCCCCGAGCCCCGGCGGCCCCTCGCGCTGCGGGCGGGCGGAGGGAAGCCGCGTCCTGCCGTGCGCGCCGCCCGCAGTGCCGCCGAGCGCCGTGGCGTGGCCGGGGGCGTCGCGGGGCGCGCGGGACGGGCGGCCGGCTCGGCGGCGCGGTGCGCAGGTAGGGCGGGCAGGGTGGGCAGGGCGGGCGCCCCGGGAGAGACCGCCCCGAGGCCGCAGGCTGGGGGGGGGGGCGCCAGCCCGGGGGGTGCGGGTGGGGACCACCGCCCGGCCCCTCTGGCTGCCCCTCCAGAGGCCGACTCTGTGCCCCCGCGGCTCCCCCGCCCCGACTCCGTGTGGCTGCTCGTCCCCAGCCGGCCAGGGCCGACCCCCATCGCCCCCAACACGGAGATCTTCCAGCCTGGAGGCCCCTCTGCAGGCTGATGCAGGCAGGGCCACCGCCGTGACCCCTGCCCACCCTCCCAAGGGCCAGGAAGCCAATCCCCTGGCTCTCAGCCCCCAGAGATGGGAGCAGGGCCCCGGGGCCAGAGAGGGACCATCCCCTGGGCCCCTGGGGCGGGGCGGGGCGGGGGGGGGGGGAGGGAGGGGGGAACCTGCTCTGCCGGGTTGGTACACAGTAGAAAGCGGAGCAGGCAGCATGTGGACGGTGCCGGCGGTGACAGCAGGCAGGATGCTGCAGCCACTGAATCCCAGACCCGTGTGCAGCCTGTGACCCCAAGACCCTCAGCACCGACTCCCCCCCCCAGCTCCTTGGCCATGCAAATGGCAGCCAAATCCTCCCAGCCCCAAAATGAACTTCCTTCGGGGAGGCTTCCCCATGCAAAGCAGGGAAGGCAGGCCAGGCGGAGACCTGCTCCACCCCTCACGTGAGGGTCTGGGTTGCTCCCTCTGCAACCAGGAGCGGGAAGTGGGCCTGGCAGTTGGAGGGTGGGCTCTGGGACCCCATCTGTGCTGGGTGCCTGGTCCCGCTATCGCCGAAACGCTGCCCCTTCTCTCCAAGAGACCAGGCGGAGGTAAGGGGGGCTGGGAGGTGAGGTTGCTCGGTGAATAGAGGTGTGCTCAGAGTAGAAAGTTTTCTCTGCAGTTAATGAGCCCCGTGGGGGTCCAGGAGCAGGCACATGGGGCCTCATTACCGTGGCCTCAGCTTCAGGCCCTGCACCCTGTGGACAATGTGGGTGCCTATGTGGAGCCTGGGAAAGGGCTGGTACAGCCGTGGGGACCTCCCAAGCACTACACTGGGAGTCAGTGTGCAAGGGTGGGCTCCTTCCCTTCCTGGTGGGGAGGGAGCACCGAGGGGATGACGGCAAGCTGGCAGCCCCCTGGCTGTTGCTCGCTTCTGTGTCCTGCAGCCCCAGGCTGGCCACTTCCGAAGCTCCCGACACCATGGAGGAGTGGGACGTGCCCCAGATGAAAAAAGAGGTGGAGAGCCTCAAATACCAGCTGGCCTTCAAGAGGGAGATGTCGTCCAAGACCATCCCTGAGTAAGTCCCCAGGACCCCACCCGGCCCAGCACCTGCTGATCCTGATCTGCACTTCATTTCCCTGCCCCATATGTATTTGCATGCGTCAGCCCACACCCCTGCACCCACCTGCTCACCTCAGCCTCCCCAACCACAGGCTCCTCAAGTGGATAGAGGATGGGATCCCCAAGGACCCGTTCCTGAACCCCGACCTGATGAAGAACAACCCATGGGTGGAAAAGGGCAAGTGCACCATCCTGTGAGGCCCCCACGCCCCGCCCCCAGATTCTCGTTTCTGTAGGGAGGACAACTGTGTAAACGTGTGACTTTTAGAAAGACTTTTTGAGAGTGTTCGTGATTTTATACATCTTCTGGTGGAGAAAAAGCAACACAGCATTTGGTGTGGGCCCTGGGGCATCTCATGTGGATCTGCAGCCCCCTGCACGGGCTAAGGTGTCCAGCATGGGCCCCCGGCTGTCCAGCAGGCGTCACGGAGCTGGGTGTAGACCCGGGCCGTACAGCAGGCCTTAAGGAGCTCGGTGCAGCCCCGGCTATAGCAGGTCCCTGATGGGCACTCTGCGCCGCACAGCATTGGAGACGCCCTCCTTGAAGCGAAACCAGACGTCACTCCTGCCCACTGCTCTGCCTATGCGCCGCTCAGCCACGTCTGTCTCGGGGGCCACAGCTCCTACGGAAGCCACATCATTGCTCCTCCACCTCGCCCTGGCCCCTCCAGCCCTTCCCGCACCCCACACACCTGCACTCAGGGGGGCCGCTCTCTTCGTGACCACACGACCGAAGAAATCCCTCTCGGGCTAAAGGAGGCAGGTGGGTCAGGCTCTCAGAGACAGACCCCTGGCGGACACTCCCGCTATGGCAGGAGGGCTGAGAGGCCACAACCCAGGGAGGAGCCAATGGCCCCAGGCCGTGGGAGCAGATGCCCACCTCCCCTTCCCGGGGGCCAGGATCCCTTTGATCCCCCACCACCCAGAGCAGCATCCTCCTACCATAGCCGGGCCCAGGGTGGAAGGTAGGAGCAGGCCCCCTTTTGACAAGATGAGAAATGGGCCCAGTGGGACCCCCACCCCTGGCTGAGCAGCAGGCACGTGGCAGGCCCCCCAGGGCTGAGAACCAGCCCTGCCCCTCACACCTGTTCCTCCAGAGCCGCTTTCTTCAGGATGCGCTCCAGCTGCTGCTCCAGCCACTGCTCCTCTTGGCTGTGTGTGGTGGGTGGCTGTGCCTCTTTCTCCCCAGCACCGCCCAGTGGAGCCCTGGCCCCTGGGGGGGCCCTGTCCACCTGCAGAAGCAAGGTGTGGTGAGGACATCCCAGGCAGGGTCACTCCAGGGACAACAGCCCTGCCCTCCTAGGCCTGGCTCTGGCCCAGAGCGCAGGGCAGGCTTACCTGCGGGCCATCCCCAACCCGGGCCAAGGCCTCTGCCCGCCGCATTTTCTCCATTTCAATCTCATGGGCAATGAGCTGCTTAGCCTGGTAGGTGAGGGGTTTGCGGGTGGGCAGCTCAGGAAAGCGACAAACCTCCTCCACGTTCCTGGTCTCAGAGTAAAGAGACGTGTCCGGTCAGCAGGCACAGGCAGGGGCTACCTCCCACACCAGTCCCAGATGCCAAAAAGCCAGAGCTGCAGCGTGGGGCTCGTCCTGGCAATATGATGCCTCAGCCCCAGAACAGCAGGTTATCACCCACCCCAAGCCTGTTTCCCCAACTGCCTACAAGCATTAGAAGGAAACCGCCCCAGGGCTGCAAGATAAAAAAATGAGACAACATGGCAAGGTCTAGACTCAAGGCTGGAGTACCTGGAACGGTCACCTTTACTGCCTCCTTGCAAATGGCCCAAGGGGGCTGAGCACTGGCCCCCTTGTTGGTTGGGCAGCATGGCCCCAGGGAACATCTTAGAATGGGCCAGCAAAGCCCTGAGGGCAGCTCCCGGGGGACATGGAAGCAGTGAGAGCCTGCTTGTGAGAGCCGTGCCACAACTGTATTGGGGCAAGAGCGGAGTTGGAACTGAGCAGAGCTGGAACCGCCCCCTACCACTGCCCCACAGACGAGAAAAGTGAGACTCACACCTCGCTGAGACTGCACCTTGAGAGTCCTGCCCCAGTGACCGCCATAGCACCTGGCACCCAGCCCCCGGCACCCACCCCAGGTGCTGTGGACTCACGGCTCGAGCCTGTAGATGTACTGCCCGTCGGGCAGGCGCTCCTGGCGGTAGGTTAGGCTGTAGGCAAGCATGGTGCCCACGAGGCTGGCCAGCTGCTGCTTCTCACGAGTGCTGTACAGCTGCGTGCTCACCTATGGGCGGGGGGCAGTGGGCAGGGACGCTGAGTGTGGTCAGGGCCCAGCCCCACCAGCAGCCACACCCCTCACTCTGGACAAAGCACTCACAGGGCGCAGCTTGGGCGCAAGGATGTCCAGAATCAGGCAGAGGGCATCCAGGACGAGAGCCTGAGGCGCGGCCCGGCTACGGGTGGCAGGTGCAATGCCCGCCACAAGTGTGTGGATGAGGTTCTGTGTCCGGCTCGTCCGGCTCTGGGCCTAGGATGCAGGGTGGATTGGGCCTCGGTAACCCAGGGTCCCTGGGCCAGACCCTAGGCCCCGGGCAGGGGGCAGGGGCACACCTCCTGCTGGCTGCTAGGGAACGCAATCCTCGGCACGTGGCTAGAGGCAAAGAGCAGGTGGAAGGCTGCTGGCAGGAAGGGCAGGTAGCGCAGCAGCTGGAAGCTCTGGCCGTGGTGGGCGGTGCAGGTCAGCAGGTCATCAAAGGCCAGCCAGTCGAGGGCCGTGCACACGGTCCCCAGGCTGGAATCCCGCAGCCGCAGGCGCAGAAAGTTGTCAAAAAGGCCCTGGGGGTAAGCAGGTAGGTGGGCCTCTGAACCCCCGGCCTCAGTGCAGCCCACTGTATAAGCACCCCCCACGGGACCCTCCACCTCCCACCTGCCCTGCCAAGTCCAGGGTCTGGGGCAGCAGTGAACAGCAGCACGGGACCCTGAGGCCCCCAAAAGAGGAGCCAGGAAGGCCCAGCCTGCCGCCCTCACTGTTGGCCGCAACTCAGATGCAGGAAACACCCTCATGCCACCCCTACCACCTCAAGGAGCCCACAGGCTCCAGTACCCATCCCCTCCCCGAAGGAAGTCCTGTGGGCCAGAGCTGAGGCCAGAGACCCTGCTCCTGTGCCACGTGAGGTTCCGTTGCCCTCGGGGCACAGCACACCCTTCCCCATAGAGCTTTCCAGATTTATGCAGATCCCCAGCCACTAATCCAAAGCTGCTTAGTCAGGGACATGGCTTAGACCAGGCTTCCCGGGCGTGGGGGCATCTCTGCCACCTGCTCGAGCCAAAACCTCACCCTGCCAGCTCCACCCCACATTCCCGTTCCCACAGCTCACATCCAGAACGGGTACACTCCTGGGCTCTGACTTGGGCCTTGCCGCCCACCCCCCATCGCTGCCAGCCCACCCCGGCCATCCCACCAGGCACCAGTTACTTCCTGTCCCCGGCCCAGCCCGGCTTGCCGTCACCTCTGACGGGTCTCCCTGACGCACCGTGTCCGCCACCCTCGCTCATCCCTCTCCTTGACATCACAGCAAGCACCTCCTATTCTCTGGGACACACACACACCCAGATGCTAGCCTACCAACACCCCCAAAAATGTCTCATTGGGGATGCAGCGAGATTACCTGCACCACCTTCTCGTGCTCGCCTGCGGACCCAGCCACGTGCAGGATGCGGTGGAGGCGCTGCGCAGCCGTGGTCAGAGGCGCCTCGGCAGCACGGGGCCCCAGGCCCAAGTGCCCATCGCCGAGCAGGAGCATGTGTGGGGCAGAGGAGGGGTCCTGGGCCCAGCGCTGCCTGCAGAGGGGTGCCAAGGCTGCAAGGGCGCCCCGCCTCTTCGTTGCCCTCGCTCCCCAGAGCGGCCCAGGTGTTTGTACACTGATGAAGCTCTGTGGGTCCCCAGAAGGGGATGGAGGGGGAGGCCAAGCACCCCCAGGCCCGCGTGCTTACCTCTGGGCCCGGGGCAGCTGGAAGATCTCCTGCCACACGGAGAAAAGCCCCTTGCGCTGGTCCTTGAGCCCGACCCGCGTAGTCTGCACGGCCCGCACACTCAGCTCCCGCCGGCCCCGCCCATGAAGGAACTGGACACAGGGTGGTGGGAGCTGGTGAGAGAAGGCCTCCCCCGCCTCACCTGGCCGTGGCCCCCCGCCCACCTGCCCACTGGCCCACCTGCAGCGTGTTGATGCAGGCACGGATATCGTTGTCGGTCTTCTCACACAGAGCTGCCAGCGCACCCGGGTCAGCCTGCATGCCCTGCCGTAGGGAGATCTGCAGGGAGGGGCAGGGGGGTGGGCAGGTGCTCCCCGGGAAACCCACCCCGAGGCCCCCTCTTCCCTAGAACACGGGAGAACTGCAGCTACAGATCCCCGCGGACCGGCCTGGATCCCTGCTGGAACCTCCTACTGCCAAAGAGCAAACCGGTGCAGTCATGTCCCGGGGCCGGCTGGAGGCTGGGGGAGGCAGAGGGGGCCAGGGCCGGGACAGAGGGCGCATCCCCCCAGCCTGTAGTCGGCCATGCAACCCCTCGTCGTGTCCACCCTCAGCCCTCACCAACCAACCTCCTGCAGCCGCTGCGTGAGTCTCGAGGACAGTATGGGTGGGAAATGGAGCAGGAAGGCCTGCTGTCTCAGCTGTCTCAGGGACGGCACAAACCTGCAGGGGTATGGGTGTGCACCAGGGTGGGTGCCACAGCCCAGCAGGCGGAGGTGGCCAGGCAGAGCTGGCGGTACACCCTCCCAGGGCCCTCCACCCTCCTGGGGAGCCCCCCCGCCCCGCACTCCGCCCTGTGCAAAGCCCTGCTCCACCCCACTCACTGGTCATTGCAGATGCAGATGATGGGCCTCATCAGGAGCCCCCCGTCGGCCCGGTGCCGCCGTCCCCCACTAGTGGGAACACCTGGACCCCCTGACTCCGCATCCTGTGGGCCCTTGTGGTCCAGAATGTTCAGAAGAACGTTGATGGCAGCCTAGGAAATGCCAGGAAGATGCAGTGAGCCCTAGCCCGTTGCCCACCCACCTGCCCACCCACTGGGGCATCCAGGAGGCCCACCACGGGCGCTCCGTCGATCTCATCTATGACCAGACAGTTGGGCTTCCCACCAGCACCCAGCACTGACTCCATCTGCGTGGCCGCCTCGATGCACGTGCGGAAGGCCTCAGGGCTGCGGTCATCACTGGAAGCAGTGGGCGGGGAGGGGGGAGCCGTCAGGGCAGCGTGGCCTTGGCCACAGCTGCAACCAGGGTCCCTGATGAGAGCCTCCCAGGGCAGAGCCGCTACGTCTACACCCCAAGGCTGCCCTGAGACACGGCGGCAGCCCCAGCCAGCCCTGAGAAAGCAACTCCGTTCCAACCACTGGGGTCTTAGGGTGCAGTCAGGACAGATGGGGGCCCTGGAGACTGGCCTCCCCGCCCCTCACCTTGCGTTCATCTCCACCACGCTGTACCCAGCGTGCCGTGCAATCACGTGAGCCAGGGTGGTCTTGCCAAGCCCCGGGGGCCCACACAGCAGCGCCACCTGCAGCCACAACAAAGGAGACGCGGATGCGCTACCCCCTGTGCCCAGGGGAGCCCCCCCCCCCCCGAGCTCCCCCCCACCCAACCGCCAGGCTGAGGCCTGCTACTCGGGGACGTACCCCCACCCACTGCAGTGACTGCACAAGAACAGACTCCAGCAGGCTCACGCTCCACCGCCTATGCACCAGAGCGAGAGGAAGTCCCACGTGGGACAAGCAACTCGGCCATCACTGGGACGACGGAGCCCAAGAGACCACCGTCACCATGAGCATCCAAAGGAGGACCGGGGTCCTCCAGACAGCGCAGGCTTCACATAAGCCATTAAACAGACTCAGATTCCAACTCACGTCACCGACGGTCCACGCCAATCCCCTGATGCTACAACGCCCATGGTGGGGGGGGGAGGATAAACGTGCCTCGTGGCCCCAGGAAGCTGCAAAGGTGCCGGCGGCCGAGAGCATCGCCCCTGGGCTCACACGTGTGTGGGGAGCAGCCAAGCAGGGCTCACCTTCTGTCGGGGCCGCCGGCTCGGGTCCAGGTCAGCCTCTAGCATGTCCTCCAGCACCTGCTCGTGGCTCTTCCATTTGCTAGAGGTTGTGGCCTCCTTGCCACCTCGGGTCAGGTCCATGCTGGGCCTTGGCTTCCTAGCAGGCCTCTCTCGGCCGAACACCACTGGGTCCCACAGTTTTAGCCACTTGAGGAGGCAACGGTTAGTGAACTGCAGAAAGGGAAGCACAGCCTGGAGGAACCACCAGCACTAAGGACACCCTGCCCTTCACATCCACCCATCAGGAGCCCCGAAAACACACAAGGATGCTGAAGCTAAGTGACAGGTGACCAGTGCCTGGCCACCCAGCCCGTGACCGACAGAGTGAGGCTCACAGCAGACCTCCATCCCTACAACTCTGACCCCCTCAGGAGCCCCCAGCACCCCCAGGGGCATCCCTGCACCAGCTTCTATGAAAGCGGGAAAGGAAAGAGAAGCTCCAGGCACAGGTGGGAGGATCCCCAGTCCAGGTCCCCGGCCACGCCATGCTGACCTCAGCTTCCCCACCCATGCCTCTAACGGGCTAATCAAAACCATCTCCCCCCACCCCAAAGCCCTGTGAGCTGACAACACAATGATTAGCTGAATTCCACACTGTTCGTCTTTGGAAACAAAAAAGCCAGTCGTTTGAACGACAAGGTCTCACGTCATCACTGAGCAGCTCCGTGTAGTACTGGGGTGCGAACTCGTCCACCCAGAGGCAGTGCTGGGAGCCATCCGGGCTGTTGGCCAGCTCTTCCTCAGGGGCCCCCAGGAGCTGGACCTCTTCCTCCACCTCCTCCGACCTGAGGCTGGAGAACACCATGCCTGAGCCGCCGGGCCTCTGGAGGAACTGCACAGCCCCCCAAACAGGCCACAGGAGGGGAAGGGGTCACCGTGTCACCTGCGAAGTGTATCCGAGAGCTGATGGGCCTCCTGCAGCAGCTGCTGCCTCCGCTGTGCAAAACCAAAGAGTGGTGTCAGGAGGGCTCCAGCGTGCAGGCACCCTAGAGCCACCCTCCCACTCCCAGCAAGCCCCACCTCACTGTCGACCTGATCCTTCAGGGACGCAAAAGACACACCCAACAGATCCAGCCGGCCCTGGCCTCGCCACCAGGTGTCACGGAAAAGTGTCTGCCGGGAAGGGAGGGCAGCAATCGTCACCCACCAGGACATAACCCCCCACTGACCCCCTCCAGACGGCGCTGCAGGACCCAGAAGGGCATCCTCCAGCACAAACACACCAGCCGCAAGACGGGCCCGTCCCTAAGCAAGCATTCCAAGGAGAAAAGCCTTCTGGGTGGGAGCATCTAGAAGGAAGGAAGAAAAACAATAGAACGAAAGAGAAGAGGCCAGGGGGGAGGTGAGGGGGGGACGGGCTGGTGAGCATCCAGAGGGTCCGCAGGGTCCAGGCCTGACCGGGCAGCACGCGCCCACCTGCACCCCCGTGCCCACGGGGTCCGCGCGCAGAACCAGAAAGGCCCGGGAGCCCGCCGTGGAGGTCACGCTGACGTAGTCCTCCAGGACAGGGGGCCGCCTCAGGACAGGATTTTGGGCCGCCCGGGGGGCCCACAGGAGGCCGCAGTCAGCAGCAGTGTCCGAGGGCCTGGGAAGGGACAGGAGGGGTCGTCTTGAGGGCCCGGACGCCTCCCAGCGCCCCGGCCCCGTCCAGAACCCGGCAAGCCACACACCCCTCGGGCCACAGCTCAGGGGGGACCTCGGGGCTCTGCGGGGGGGTGATGTCCCCGGCGGGGGAGTCAGGACCCGGCGGCTCCTCCTGCTCCTCTGGCTCCTCCGGCCTGAAGTTCAGCTCCCTGACGACCTGCAGCCGCGGCCGCTTGACCCTGGGGGCTGGGGAGGCAGACGTCAGGGGCCCAGGCCGAAGGTCCCCACCCCGGTCGTGGTGGGTGGCCCTCCTCCGCAGCCGCGCCCCGCCCGCGCCCCGGGCCCTGCTTACGTACTGGGGGGCAGAGCCGCGTCCCCGGGCGAGGGCGCCGCCAGCCGCCTCCTCCCCGCGCCGCCGCGGCTCCCCGGGCGTCCACCTGCGGGGCGGCGGGCGGCGGCCCCTCCGGCCTCGGCGTCCTCCGGCGTCAGCCCGGCCCGGCCCGCCGCGGCCCAGCGCTCCCTGCGGGGTGACCCGGCCGCCAACCCTGCCAGGACAGACAGCCGCGGCTCAGCGCGGCCCGCGCACGGGGCCCCGCTCGCCCCCTCCTCCGGGCGGCCCCCCGGCCTGCGCCCACCTTCCAGCTCGGCCAGCACCTCCAGCTCGGCCGCGAACCGGTCGTGGAAGTTGTCCTCCGCCCCGCCCAGGCCCAGCTCGCGCTCTCCCATGGCGCCCGCTCCCGCCGCACCGCAAAGCGCTCCGAACCTCCCGCGCCGCCGCCGCCGCCGCCGCACCCGCCCCCGGCGTCCCGGCGCCGCCAACCCCCGGCCGGCGTCCCGGCGCCGCTCGCCATTGGCCCACGGGAGAGCGCGGCGGAGGCGGGGCTGCGCGCGCAGCTGGGGCGGGCCCGGGCCGTGGGCGCCGCGGACGCTCGCCATTGGCCCGCTCGGCCGTCCGTCCGCGGCGGGGGCGTGGCGGGGGCGGGGCTGCGCGCTCAGGCCGGGCCCAGCGAGGCGCGGCTCCGGGGTCGCGGGGGGCGCGGGGGCGGGTGCTGGAGCCAGGGCCGGGGGCTGCCTCGAGGGGCCCGGGCGGCCCTGCCCAGCTGCAGGTCGGTCCCGGCGTGGGCCGGGCGCGGAGCCGCGTGTCCCGGATCCGGGGCGTGGGTGGGACGGCCGCTCGGGACGGGGGTGCAGCGGGGCGCGGGAGGGCCGTGCGCCTGGCTGGCTTTCCACCCGCGCTCTGGGGACCCCCGTGCACACACGCGCTCCGCGTTTCAGGCCCCCGCCATGGAGCCGGGCCGGATAGAGAACTTGTCCGTGGTGTACCAGAGCCGGGACTTCCTGGTGGTGAACAAGCACTGGGACCTGCGCATCGACAGCAGGATGTGGCGCGAGACTCCCACCCTCCAGAAGCAGCTGCGCCACCACTTCCCGGAGTTAGCGGATCCTGACACCTACTATGGCTTCAGGTACTGGGAGCTTCCGTGGGGGGCAGTGGACACCCCCAGGCGCACCAGCCCTGATCGCCGGCCCCATGCCAGGTTCTGCCACCAGTTGGACTTCTCCACCAGCGGGGCACTCTGTGTGGCCTTGAACAAGGCGGCAGCGGGCAGCGCGTACAAGTGCTTCAAGGAGCGGCGTGTCACCAAGGCCTATCTGGCTCTGGTAAGGCCTGACCAGGCCCCGAGGCGGGGGATTCCGACTCTCAGCCACGGCGGCAGGCCGAATGTCCCCACCCCGCTCGTGGTGGGTGGCCCTGAGAGCAGCCTGTGACTCTGCCCAGCAGGTGCGGGGACACGTGCAGGAGAGTCGGCTGACCATCAACTATGCCATCGGCAGGAACAGCACAGAGGGTCGGGCTCACACCATGTGCATTGAGGGCACAGAGGGTACGGAGGGCAGAAAGGTGGGATCGCCGGGCACACGGCACCCAGAGAGGACCCTGAGTGAGCTGGGCTGGGGTGGATTGGGCCCGGCACTGGTCCAGCCACGCTCACGCTTTGTCTTTCGCTCGCAGGCTGTGAGAACCCCAAACCGAGCCTGACAGAGCTGGTAGTCCTGGAACACGGGCTGTATGCAGGTGATCCCGTCTCCAAAGTGCTGCTGCAGCCACTCACAGGTGCGCCAGGGGCAGGGCGGGAAGCTTTCCAGGCCCCCTTGCCATCTGCTAATGGTGCTCCCCCACGTGGTGAACACCTTGCGCCGGCATCTCTTCACTCCGGGTACTGTGGCATCTTTGTCACACACGAGAGGAAGTGGTGGCACAGGGGCACAGCAGCCTGCTTGGGGCCACTCCGCTGTTTGCACCCCACGTCCTGCAGCCTCTTGCCCCACACACGGCCTTGCTATCTTTGATGTGAGGGTAGCGGGACAGCTCGCAGGGCTTCTGCAGCATTCCCGGCTCTGCCTCTCCTGGCAGTGACCTTGGAGTTGACTCCTCTTTGCATCTCTGGCGTTCTTGTTTGTAACAGGGAACAGGAGGTCTGCTCTTTCTAAGGGTTTTGTGGGGCTTTGAGAGGGCAACAGGGAGTAGGGTTATGGGGTGATGTGAGTGGGTGAGGGTGGGCATGGGATGGCATTCCCACCCTACTGGTCCCCTGTCCCCCCCCACAGGCCGGACGCACCAGCTGCGTGTGCATTGCAGTGCCCTCAGCCATCCTGTCGTGGGGGACCTGACCTACGGGCAGGCGTTGGACCAAGAAGACCAGCCTTTCCGCATGATGTTGCACGCCTTTTATCTGCGTATCCCCACCCACAGCGAGTGTGTGGAGGCCTGCACACCAGATCCCTTCGTGCCGGCACTCGATGCCTGCTGGAGCCCCCACACCCTGGTGCAGTCACTGGACCAGCTCGTCCAGGTCCTGAGGGCTGCTCCTGATCCTGGTCCCACAGAAGGGTGCCCTGCGCCTTGCAGCACTCCCACACTCCCCAGCAAGCCCCCTGAGACAGAGGCGCAGCGGGCCTCCTGCCTGCAGTGGCTGTCAGAGTGGACACTGGAGCCTGACCACTGAGGGCAGCAGGCTGATTGGGAGTGGCAGGCTGGGACCCTATGGGGATGCGGGCTGCAGGGGAGAGGCCTAGGCCCATCCTGAGGCGGGGGTGTCCCTGTGTGTGTGACCTCCCGGTGGATGGGGCCTGAGGACCCGGCTACAGCAACCAGGCCTGGAGAGAGGCGGACGAGGCCAGCAGGGGGAGCCAGGCCACCATGATTGTAGAGGATGGGACCTCTCTCTAAGCACACCTGCTCCCTCCTCTGGGGGAAACCGAGATCTGCCTTCCGGACTCCAAAGCTTCATCCCTAGGGGCTTGTTTTGTAGATTTGCCCAGGGTCACCCTGTAACAGACAGAGCCAACACTTGGGCCAGCATCAGGTTGGGGTCCTCCTGGCTCCTGGCTGGGCCTCAGAGCACCCTGCTCCTCGTTGCTCTTCTTGGACCTTCTGTGTTGGTCAGCCTTCCCTGGCTGGGTCATCTCCACCTGCAGACCCTGACCAATCCTGCCCAGCCGGTACTGCCTCGTGCCTTTGCTTTACCCGGCCCCGCTGTGGGCCTCCTCTCCATCCACACGCACCTGGGGGGGTCTGAGCCACGCCCCTCGGTCCTCTCACGGTGCCTGGGCAGCCACGGTCCTCAGATTTCAGCTTGGGAGCTAGGCTGGCCAGCCCCCATTTCTTCCATCCCCAAACCACACCCACATCAGCTTAGGTGTAGCTGAGCTCTGAGGACCCCAAATAAATACTCAGTGACTGACATTTTGAGTGACTATGAATCTGTCTGACATGAAGCTTTGGGGGGCCCCAGAGCCCTGTCTTCTTCCCTGCACCGGGCAGATCTCCACCCTAGGTCCCCTAGCAGGACCCAGGATGGACCCTGTGGTCCTGGCTGCTGACCTGTCCTTGCCCTGCCATGCAGCGAGCACCCTGCGGCCCTATGTGGATGTGGGGCTCTGGGTGAAGGACTGGCACTGGGTCAGCCCCTTCCTAGATCCCCAGTTCTAGCCAGAGCCTTGCAGCACCCATCTGCTCTCAGCAGGGTCCTTCCCTAGGGCGGATGACACCATATTCTCCTTAGGGCTCTCCAACATGAGAACACCGGCTGCCCTGCAGAGTGGGCCCTCCTGGCTCGGGTGGGCACTGGGGGAGAGCAGAGGGCAGGCGTGGCCAGCCGTAGAACACTGGTCTGGACCCTTTGGCTTGGTGGGGCCCATGGGCTGGGCCAGCAGAGCACGCAATGTAGGAGCTGGAGGGCTGGACAGACACACCGGTAGCCCTCAAGGCAGGGAGACAGGATGGGGAGGTTCACAAGGACGGGTCCCCCGCTGGGGAATGTGTGTTGCCCCTCCCCCAGCCCTGCTGCTTCCCCCTGGAAGGTCTCCTTGGCCCCTTGAGGCACCCAGGACCCAGAGAGTCACCCACAGGCCAGACCCAGACCTTGCTCGTACGAGTTGGCTGTCTCCCACATGGGGGAGAGGCTGCAGAGCCAGGACGCAGCTATACAGACTGTCTGTCCCCCCCAGCTGTGGGTGGGCCAGGTTTGGAGTGGGAATCAGGCAGGGCCTCCTGGACAGGGACAGCAAGGAGAGTTTCCTCAGGTGAGGGTGGCCAGACAGGTGCTGTGGGCAGGGGAAAGTGTGGGGCAGTCCCGTGACAGGCAAGCTCCTGGGGCCCGTGTGCTGCTGGAAGGCCAGGAGCACGTGGAGCCCCACGCAGTGCAGCCGAACTTCCATGGGACTGTCCAGTCCCCAGCTGGTCCCTCTGGCTCAGCGCGTCTGCTTGGCCCTGAGGCAGGCTCTTTGGGGCACATGCAGCCCGCCTGGCGGTGCTGGTGGCAGTCGTCCGGTAGCTAAGCCAGTATCATGGAGTTCCACGGCCCAGGCCCCCCCAGCCCTGCGGAGCGGGAGTTGCATCCCCTCCAGGAGGGTCCCTCTCAGCACCCTGCCCCGCCTACCCCAGCTAGGGCACCTCCCACCAGGCCTCAGAGGCCCCACCTGGTGGAGCTGCCCCGCCCTGGGCCCCAGGGCATGTGTGGCAGGGGTCTTTGTCACTGAGGTCACCTGCTTGGGGCCAGCGTGTCCCCCCACACAGTACACACGTGTAGACACACGTGCTCACAGGGCAGAAACTGCCACACGTGTCACTGCACCCAGGTCCCAGGTCCCACACTGGATCCCCGTGCGCTGAACGTCCCTGCTGCAGGGAACGCATGCACCAGATGTGCACATAGCCGTGGGTGCTCCAGGACACACACGTGTGCACAAGAACACCAGCACGCATGCAAAGGCACATACAGTCCTCGGGGCGCAGACTCGCTCCCCGGTGGGAAGGGGTGTGCGCTGGGCAGCTGCCAACTGTGAGCTCAGCCTCCTGCTCCCCCAGGGCTGGAGAGCAGGTGTGCTCTCTGCTGTGCTTGGGGCCCCCAGGGGTGCACATGGCAGCCTCACCTGACGCAGCGCTGGGCCCTCCCCTACACATCTGCCTGGCAGGCATCACTGCGGGAGCGGGTGCCCGGGAAGTCAGGGTGTTGGGTGAGGCATGGAGGTGAGCAGGAACCCAGGTGGCACCCCCCGGCACCACCACTGTGCCCCAGTGCTCAGCTGTAGTGGCTGACAGTCAGACTGGGGTCACTGGTGTCTGGAGCACCGGGCACCTGGCCTACACCCCCTGCATTCGACAGCCACCTCGGGGCACAGGGGCAGTCCTCCTACAGCAGATGGTCTCCACGCTCAGGTGAGAAGCAACGGCTGGGGCAGGGCCATTGCCACCTGGACCCACAGGGCCTCGGCTCTGTGGCGGTCTCCCGGTGGCCCTGGGTGGGTAACTGAGCTTCTCCAAGCTTCCGCTTCGTCCCCCTCATAGGACTGACGGTAACTGCCCGGGGCCAGGCAGCATCTAGAGGCCCTAGGACCCCACAGGACACCCTTCAGGTCACAGTTAAGGCTGCCATCTGGAGACAGGCAGGGCTGCTTGCTACAGGGGAGGGGCTGTGGTGCAGTTTGTGGCTGAGGGCACCGTCTGGCTGGGTGTCCGAGGCCCCAGGAGGGAAAGAGAACTTTGGGGACAGGTTTGAGAGCCCCCAAGCCTCTACCCGTACCCACCTGCAGAGACTTACTGAGACCCCCCGCCCTCCCCTGTAGCTGTCGACAGATCTGTTTATTGGAGACACCTAAGCCTGCAGGTCCCAGGAGCCCGGCCTGTGATAAGACAGGCCCCTCCTCATGCCACTCCCTCCAGTTCCAGAGACGCACTCTTTGTGGGGTTTGCACCCCTCCCCAAAGACACAGACACGCGGTGGCAGGGCACCCATCCTATACGACCCTGGACTGCACCTCCCTGTCTGCACCCCATGCCAAAGAGGGCAGGGGAAGGTGAGGGGGTGGGTCTCATCACCTTCTCTTCTCCAGCTTGTCCTGGACCCACTGCCCGTGACCCCACACCTTCCTGCCAGGACAAGCAGTGCTCACCGCACAGCCATGGGCCCCAGAGCAGGTGAGACGGCCCTCACGAGGGGGTACCTTGGACGCTCCGGGGCATGGTTCCCACGGCTAGACTCCCCTAGGGTGGCAGGACCATCAGTGGTCGTAGGCCTACCTTAGGACACAGGGGACCCCAGGCAGATCTTGAGGGATGGGCCTGGGGGGCCGGCAGCTGCTCACAGCCTGTTCCGTTGCAGGTGCCCAGGTGAGCCCAGGCCTCGCCGTCCTCGTGTGGCTCACCACGCACTGCTGTTGTCCCCAGGCCCAGGGCCTCTCCGAGGGAGGGCTGGATGCCAGCAGGGCCGACCCCTGGGCCATGTGAGTGCCAGCCCATCCTGCCGCTCCAACAACCAGGTCACGTTTCCGCAGCTGATCCTCTGGCAGGCAGGGGTGGGGGGTGCATCTCCAGGTCTGCACTCCACGGCCCTGCATGCCTGAGATGGCCCAGGGCAACCAGTGTCCTGCCTCAGAGTCATAGCCAGGGGGCCAGGAGCAGGTCCCCCAGGCCATCGCAGCCCCTCACCACGTGCACTGCTCCTGGCCTGGCAGGCGATTACTCCGAGTCCTGGGTCCTCTGGGCCTCCTTCCTCTGCCCGGGGCTTAGCTGTTCTCCCGGCCCCGACACTCAGGCATCTCCAAGCACCGTTCGGGTCCTGAATGTGGGCTCAGCCCCACTTCCCTTCCCGGGGTTAGAGAGAGCTGACGAGCTGTCAATCTGTGGGCGATGGGTGTGGGCTGGGGAGGGCAGGGGCCCAGGCCGGCACACACAGGACGCCCTCCCCGTGCACACTGTGAGGAGCCCCCGGCTGGAAGCCAGTGCAGCTGTGGTGGCCCAGTAGGTGCCCAGGCCATGTCGCCTACAAGCCCTCGGCTGTCGCTGGGACAGTGGAGCCTGCCCAAGCTCAGAGCCCGCCGGGACTAGGCCAGGGCCATGGTGAAGCATGCCCACAGCTTGGGGCTGCGCCTGCCGTGTGAGGGCCCAGGCTGCCGTGGGCCAAGGTGCCGCTGGCCAGGCTTCCTGGGTCTCGCTCCCTCCGCGCTGGGGGTACTGACGTCCCTACCGCATACCTTACTCTGCTGCCCCTCACCGCCTGCCTCCTTCCTGCCAGCACCAACACCTCCTCCCTCTTGCACAACTTCTGGTGCCAGCCGGCCAGCCAGCTGCCCCGGGACCAGCTTTCCGATCTCATCAGGGGGATGGCAACACAGCAGGCACTTCTTAGAGCCTGGCAGGTGTGTGGCTGTGGCTGGTGGGGGCAGGGGGGTGCTGAGGGCAGGGGCAGACAGGCAGGGGAGGAGACAGGTCAGAAGGAAGGGCGTCCCCAGCTACGGGCAGAGGGTCAGCCGGGGGTCCACGGGGCCAGGATGGGGAGCGAGCCCACCGGAGTGCCGGGGCCATGCCCAAGACCCTGGCAACCTCACAAGCACCTGAGATGCGTCTCTTCGGGGGACCCCGACGTGCCAGGAGGTCTAGCCATCTTACATTGAGTTTTCCCTCCCATGGGTGACTCTCTGGTGCTGCCCACGTGGGGCCGTTTCCAGGACCCCTCAGCCAATTACCCACCTTCTGTCTGGTTCTAGTGAGGGCTTGTCCACCAGGCCTGTGCTGGGCACTTCCTGCCTCCCTGGGGCGGGCCCTCTGGGCCGTGTGTAGATCTTCCAGCCCCCTGGCCTCTCCCTTGCCACCTGAGGCCACTCGACCCACAGCAGACCCAAGCACTGCCTGCCCCTGAGCTTAAAGCAGCAAAAACAAAAAAGCTACTATTTTGTCTCATTATAAAGTTAGTATGAAATTAGTAATAAATCTGGAACGACCCCAAAGTCAATCAAGTGAGACAAGAAGTCCAGGCGGGAGGTGGCATCAGGATAAAGGACTCTGAAAAAAAAAAAAAAAGGATAAAGGACTCTGAGCCGCTGTAGTGCAGTGGGGGCCGGGGTGGGGGCAGAAGGCCTGGAGACCTAGCGGGGGGTGTCAGGCTGCCCTTGACCCTCCCCGAGACTGGTTCTGATGCGAAGGTTGACAGGGAGAGGACATGTCGGGCAGGTGACAGAGCCCAGGCGGCGGGAAGGGCCCCACACGGGGCGCAAGGGGAACGGGGCAGAAAGGAGGGCCCGGAAGCCCCAGGTGGGCAAGCGAGCGACATGCCTCTGCCCTGCCCAGCTCAGCTGCCTGGCCAACCTGGTCACTCTGCGCGGCCTCCAGGACGACTTTGAGCTCCACCCCCCAGACCTGCTACTCTTCTATGAGTGAGTGCCTGCCCCCCACCCCACCTCGAATTCAGGCAGCAGAGGCTGAGCTCCCCAGGGACACATGGGCCATCCCAGAGGACCCTCGGGTGGCCTCCACCCTCCCACCCGCCAACCTGCCTGCAGCCTGACTCAGGTGAGGGAAGCCAGGTGCCAGGCCTTCATCCACCGCGCCGCCCAGGGGGACACGGAGCTGCTAGCCAACCTGCCAGACCAGAGGGCCGCCCTGCGACACATGGCCTTGGCCTGCCTGGTAGGCACCGTGGGCACGCCGGGACAGGACGGGCAGACAGGTGGTGGGGCCAGGCCGGTGCTGACCCGCTGTCCGGCAGGGGGGACCCCGGCTGCGGCTCAGCGCCTCTGACCTGCTGCTCCTCGGGGTCCTGGTGTGTGACATGGACGCGTCCAGCATCGAGGCCGCGGACCCCCTTGTGCTGGAGAACTTGCAGCGCTGCCGCGGGCTCACTACCACCCAGCAAGCCGCCCTCAACACGCTGCTAGCCAGTGGCACGACCGTGCTTGGGTAGGCCGGGGCCAGTACCCTCCGCCCAGACACCTGGGGTGGGAGGGCCTCGGCTGAGCAGGAGGTGTCCCCCGCAGGGCAGGAGCTGGAAACCGGGTGCTCAGGGAGGGGCAGGCAGCCTCCAGAGGCTGGGCTCTGCTCCTGACCGCGTCGCGGTGCTCCCTTACCACACACCAGGCCTCCAGGTTCCTGGGACCTAGAGGGGCTGCAGGCTCTGGGACCCCTGGCCACCTACATCAGCCCCAGCCTGTGGATGCAGGTGCAGGAGGTAGGACAGTCTCCAGTGGGGGATGGTCGAGCTGGCTGTGGACAAGGGCAGGGGCATCCACCGACCCTCCACCAGCCTGTCCAGGCCTGGGGGTAGGACGTACCAGCGTCCCCGGGTTTCTGTCTGTGGGACAGGAGGAGGAACCAGGTGGCCCCTGGCAGCCCCTCCCCAGGGTATGGAGTCTCCATGCCTGCCTCGCCAGGCTGTGGGCCTGGACTTCTTCAGGGGCATGGTGGCCACGTACCGAGCTGGGCAGCTCAGCCAGCACGATGCCAGGCGCTTCGTCACTGGCTTCCTCGAGGCCAAGGCCGAGTCAGTGTCCTCTCGGCCCAAGAGGGGCACAGGTGAGTGTGGCTACTGTGGCCTGGGGATGCTGTCCCTCCCCTTGATCTGGGCTCCCAACCCAACACACAGTCCCACTGCTGCTGGACCTCCTGGGTATAGCCCAGGGCTTCGCATCCAGCCTGGGGTTGGGGGCGTGGTTGGAGGCCACTGAGCTGAACCACAGGTCAAGGTCAGGTTTGACTATATGGTCCAGGCCAAGTTCTTGGCTAGAGGTCAAGTTCAGAGAGAGTCAAAGGTAGATTAAGGTTGGGGAGGGGCAAAGTCAGCAAAGGTCAGCTGAAACCCCCAACCCCCCCCACCACAGGGAGACCCTGCCTCCGTGGAGACATCACAGCGGCCACGCTGCATGACAACCTGTTTCTAGTGCGCTATGACTGCTTGCAGCTAGAGTCCTGCCTGGGCAGCCACGTGCTCACAGCCAACCTGGACCCCCTGCTGCAGCACCCCCTGCCAGCCGAGTGCCAGCGCGTCGTCAAGGCCAAGCTGGCTCGGGTGTGCTGCTGACCACCTGCGGGAGGAGGTGGGGGGCACTGGCAGCGTGGCCTGACCCTCACACCCCCCAGGTCTACCCACACGGTGTCCCCGAGGAGCAGCTGCGACTCATCACCTCGCTGGTCTACCTCTACTCCCGCTCGGAGATTGGCCAGTGGAACATCACGTCCAGGGACACAGTTGTGGCCCTGCTGGCCTCAGACGTGGCCCTGGAGAACCAGACTGAGGTGAGAGCCACGCGCGGGGCGGGGGGGGGGGGGGTTGGGCAGGGAGGGGAAGGGAGGCGCCGCCCCAGCTCCGCCGACCTGCGCCCTGCCTCCAGGCTGTCCTACAGAAGTACCTGGACCACAACGGCACCATCACCGGCGCCCTGCTCGTGGCCATTGGGGGCTGGCGCCTCTGCTGGATGAGTCCCCGGCAGATCCAGGCCATCAGGCCCTCGGAGTTCCGGTGAGCCGGCCGGGGAGGGGGCGCTCAGCCTCCAGTGGCTGCACAAGCGAGGACCACCAACCAGGTGGTTTACAATGAGAGAAACTTCCCTTGTGATCTGGAGGTCCTAGGGCCAGCTCCACCTGGAGCCTGGGGGGGGGGGCGGGTGTCCATCCTGCACGTTCCGCTGCTGAGCCCCTTGGCCTTCCTGGGCAGGTGGGCCCATCCCCTCAGCCTCTGCCTGCCTCTCGGCGCCTGCGTGCTGGTTTCCTTGTCACATGGCCACTGGTTTGACTTGGATGGCTAATTCAGCGTGAGACCGTTAGATCCCGTCCACAAGTAGTATGGCTCTGTTCTCCATCGAGGTCATGTTCTGAGGTCTTGGGGGACACTGTTCAGCACAGCAGACGGAACCAGAGGAAAGCTGTGGTGGGGAAGGGGGGTACGGGGTCCCGGCCCGACCAGCAGCCTCTCTGTCCCACAGGCAGGCTGGGGCCTTGGACATCTCCTCCTGCCCTCAGAGCCGCAAAGATGTGCTCTACACCAAGGCCCGCGAGGCCTTTGGCGGCGCCAGGAGCACAGCGGCCTACTACCGCCTCATGCGTCCCTACCTGGGTGAGTCCCTGGCCTGGCCCAGCTCCTGCGAGGGCGCTGTGACCCCGAGAGCCTCGGCCCCAAGTGAGAGTGCTGTGACCCTGGGAGCCCCCCAGCCCCGAGTGAGGGCGCTATGACCCCAAGAGCCCCGGCTCAGCTCCTGTGAGGGCACTGCGACCCCGGGAGCCCCTGGCCCTGAGTGAGGGTGCTGTGACCCCGGGAGCCCCCACCCCTCTCGGCTCACCACGGCTGGCCCCCAGGCGGCGCCCCTGTGGAGGAGCTCCGGCACCTGGTCCAGGCAAACGTCTCCATGGACATCGACACCTTCACCACGCTGAACCCCCGAGTGCTGCAGGTGGGCCCCGCAGCTGCCCGGCCGGGGATGGGGCAGGGGAGGCCTCTGACACAGTCTGCCCGCCCCGTGCACCCCCAGGGCGGAGGTGTGCAGACTGCAAGAACCCCAGGTGCCATCTGCCAGGCTTCGCCCCTGCACCCACTCCTGAGTTAAGTACCACCCTGCGGGGTCTGCCCTTGGTCCCAGAGCTGGCCTCTGCAGGCCCCTCTGGACCTGCCCCCATGGCCCCCTGCCTCCTCTCACAGAACCTGAGTGTGGGCAATGTGACGACACTGCTGGGCCAGAACGTAGGGGACCTGCGGAAGGCGCGCAGCCACCCGACCATCAGCTCCTGGCTCCGCAGCCTGAACACATCGGCCCTAGGAGAGCTGGGCCTGGACACGGATCCTGCCAGCCCCCCCGGCCCCGCCTGCCCCACCACTGGGACCCCCAGCACCACACCTGGGGTGCCCTACCCAGCCACCACCTCGGGCCGGCCTGGGAACGACGCCCCTGCCTCCGGTATGCCCCACCCTGCCCCTCCCTCCGCTCTGGTGGGCCTGCCCCGTCTGCCCAGGGCCACGGAGGACCCCGGTTTCTCATCTCACAACCTTATACTTTTGCCTCCTTGGGTGACGTCTGGGGGACATTGGCCTCACTCTTCCCTGGTTGTTGAGTTACTGAAGGACAAAATCACCTCCCCCAATACCTGCTGAGCACCAGCGAGGGCGGGGAGCTGTGAGATCCATGTCAGGGCCCAGAGGAGCAGCCTCCATGGCGGCCCCACTGGCCTTCCCCACCCATGGGATGACGAGGGCGTGGAGCCCAGAGTGAGGGGCTGTGCAGGCCCCGGAGGCTGCCAGCTGGGACTGACCAGCACTCCATCTGTGTTCCACCTGCAGGCAGCCCACCAGCCCACCAGGGGTACCTGCCACTCGCCGTGGCCCTGCCCTTGGGCCTCCTGTGGCTGCTGCACTTGGGCTCCCCAGGCCCCAGCCAGGATTCCTTGTGGGGCTCCTGCACCAAGGCCTCCGAAGATGGCACTGCCCCAGGACTGCATGCAGGGAAACTGAGGCTGAGGCTGAGGGTGGAGCTGGACACCCGTCCAGTCCGAGCTGCAGGCTCCGGGCCCAGAGGACCTGGCCACGGCCCACATCCTAGGTACTTGTGGGGCTGGTCCCTACTCACACCCAGCTCCCAGGACACAGAGCTGGAATGAGGACATGCCCATGAACTTGCCAGCCCTGAACAGTTGACGGCGATGCTGCCCAGCCCCTGGCCTCCCTCAGGATAAAGAACTGGCATGGGGGGGGGGGCTTGCTGATTGATTTGAATAAAAGATGAGGTGATCTTCCAGCCTGGGTCCCTTTGCCCTGAGCCCAAGGAGGGGCAAAGACCCTCTTAGTGGGGAATAGGACTTCTGTCTGCCATCTCCTGGGCTCTGTCACCAGAAGCCACCCTGAGTGCTGGCTTGGCCTCGGAGGGAAGGCCCTGAGAATGGAAACAGTGGTAAGAGGGCCCCGAGGGCCACCCCCCTGCCCGGAGTCAGGCCCCTGGACCCTCATCTCCACGTGCGGATAGGAGGGGCCACCGCTCAGGAAGCACATCCACCAGGTGACACAGTCGGGCCTTCCCACCCGCCCTCAGAACACCACAGGGCATCTCTGCGGGGAAGAATGGTGGCCTTTTATTGAACTCCAGTCCCCTTGGGGTGGCCAGGGAGCCTCGCAGCAGGAGAGGTCCAGCGTCCAGAGCAGTGGGCTCACTTCGGGGTCAAACCCAGGAGCAGAGCCAGGATGGCGGTGAACACTGGTCCCGGTCCGAGGAGGCGGGTGCCCCCTGAGAGGGCCTCTATGCAGAGACAGTGACTCAGGCGCCATGCCTGGCTCTGCCCCAGCCCCACCCAGCCAGCCACCCAGCCCACCTCGGAAGCTGAGGTCCATGACCAGGTAACCGTTGGGGATGCCACCGCGGAGCCCCAGGCCCAGACGGTCCAGGTCATCCTGACGCTGCCGTAAGATCCAGTCCCGCACGGGGCTGTTCCCCTGCTCCGCCTTCAGGCCCGCCAGGTTTGCACCCAAAAGGTTTTGCACCTCGGCAACAGTCAGCGGCTGCCGGAGTCCCCACGTGGCCGTCAGGGCCGCCCATCCTCCCCCAGAAGGTCTGCCGTGTCCACACCTCCCGGGGCTTCCCGGGCCCAAGCACCCTGCCTGAGCCCCCCAGACTTTGTAGCTGACGGTGGCCGGGGCAGCCCCGTGTGGCCCCGCCCCTTACGGTTGGGCTGTCCTGCGGCCCCCGCCTCTGGCCCCGCCCCTCTCGGTGTGGCCCCGCCCTGTTCTCTGTGACCCCGCCCCTCTCCGTGTGGCCCCGCCCCGCAGCCGTACCAGCACCGCCTCCCTCCGCAGGGTCTTGAACGTGGCTGTGTCCATGCTTACGTTCTGCCGACTGAGAGCCCGCAGGTCCTCGGTGCGGGCCCCACCTGCCCGCGGGGAGAGGGGCACCAAGCGTGACACCTCACAACAGGCCCCAGTCTAACCGTCTGAGCACAGGCTGCTGCAAGAAGCCCACTTCTTCAGAATTCCTGGGCCTGGAACCTGGGTGACCGCCTGACCCTCTGGGTGGGTGGAGAGGTGTGGGTGGCCGAGGGAGCACCTGAGTGGGACTCATCGGATGTCAACCTACACACCCTTGTAAGGGCAGAGGCCGTGTGGAGCCCCTGTCATGGCGACAGCAGCTGCCGGGTGGGGTAAGAGCCAGGCCCGGCCATCCTGCCCCCAGGTGTTCTCCCTGGCTCACCCAGGTAGGGCTTGATCCTCAAAAAGTATTCAGACCCGCTCAGGTTCTGGAAGGCAGTGCGGGCCTTGGGGTAGAGGACGTCCATCTGCGGTGGGCGGCATGCATCCAGGTCCTGGTCCCTGGCCACCCTGGAGGGCCAGCATGGGGCCGGGCAGTGAGCTTGGGCGGGCCACATCACGCCCACCATGCCTGGCAGGCCCCTGGGACTCACCAAATAACACTGTGCTGCACAGAGCCCAGCTGCTCAGGACTGAGGACACATAGGTACGTGGGACTGAAGGTGGCCAGTACGTCCAGGGTGGCCTTGTCCAGCTGGCCCCCTCCCGCCACGTAGCGGGCAATCAGGGCAGCCACCTGTGGAAGGAGGCCACGGAGGTGTCCTGGGCCAGGGAGAAACGCATCCCCTGGGGTCTGCACAACCCCACACCACCTGCTCCTTCCAGGTAGGTTGTCACCTGAGCATCCACTTTGTGCCCTTTGCTGACTTTAAGAAGAGATTTCACTGTTTCCAGGGATGTCACGTTCCACTTGTGGATGTCCTCAGGGGTGATCTCGAAGAAGAAGTACCCCAAGTGCTGGATCAGGGACTCAGGGTACCCCTGTGGGTAGAGCTGCCCCGGGAGGTGACTGTGAGGGCCGCAGCCACTCCCTGGGCACCTGACGAAACTGTGGCCCAGTGGGCAGACATGAGCCCAACACCAACTACCTGGTCCAGTTTTCGCTTAAAAACATTAAGCTGCTGGTAGGTGAAGGGCACCATGTTCACCCGGTCCATCTGAGCCTCCAGCAGGGCCCCGTCCACACAAGCCTCCAGCTCCCACTCCTCATAGAAGACAAGGTTTTCATCCACCACGTGGGCCTTCTGCCTTGGGGGGCAGACCTCTGCAGGAGCAGGCGGGGGGTTGTGGACTGGCCTTCTCTTGTCAACCTCCTCCTCCCAAACCTTGCCGAGACCCTGGATAATGCATGACTCCCTCCAGCCCTCAGTTCACACATCAGCAAAATGGGGTGATTCTGTGCACCCTCCGAGGTTGTCATGCAGCCAGGAAGGGCCAGAGATGTACAAGCAGGTGGGACCCCATGCCACAATCCCCACGCCCAGGTGTCCTGACAGCCCAGGGGGCAGGGTGTTCTGCTTACTCTGTGTGTCCCGCCGGTCCCTCGAGAGGATGACAGTGAGCTCAGGCCGCTGCCAGGTCGGGTCCCGGGAGGTGCCTTGCAGCCATAGGGTCATGACACCCTGAGGGCAGAGTGGTGCTGTGGCTGAGCTATGCATGCATGAGCCATGCATGCATGACCCCTCACCCAGGGTCAGACATCTTCCTCTGTCCCCAGAGGGACCTTACCAGTCTTGAGTCTGCAGCCTCGGCCCTGGAAGGTAACACCCACCCTGCAGGGGAAGGTGCACAGGCTTGAGGGGATGGCCAAGGACTCCTGGGTGTACCTGCCACAGGCCCCCACTCTGGGTAGGAAGGAGGCAAAGCTGCCCCCCCCACCCCGCCTCGACACCTCACAACCTACCCCAGGGAGCCCAAGCCACCTCCTAAGACCTCGCTGCTCAGGGCAATGGAAGCTCATTCCATGGACACTGTCCCTTGGGCCTGAGCCCCCGTCACTGCCCTGGCTCAGCTTCCAGTACCACAGGGTATAGCGGCCCAGCAGGGACACAGGACACAGGCAGCTCTGGGGGCAGAGACACGGCTGACAGCCTACCGGGACTCAGGGCACCTGCCGGGGGCGGGGGTATGAGGCAGGCAGTCTTTCTGAAGAACCTCAGCTGCCCTCTGATGCTCTCTGAACCCCAGCACTTCGCGGCAGCCCACCCCGTCACTCACCAAGGCTGAGGAGCAGGAGCAGGAGGCTGCCACGTGTGGAGGTCCAACGGGACCCCAGGGGAGGCTGAGCAGTCTGCAGGGCCATTGTCTGCGGGAAAGAGCCACTCTGATACCGCCACCGCTGGGGCAAGACCCCCACCCTGGCCCCCCACTCCCCTTGCCCTGGGCCAGTGCAGGGCCTTATGGGTCTGGAGGGGTCTCAGAGCCCCAGATCAAACCTCCTCAGGCCCCTGCGGGTGGCCTCCGGCCCTGCTCCCAGGGCCAGGGCCAACCAGTCTGCCTGGCCGGCCTTCCCCCTCCAGGTCTGAGTCAGCCAGGCCCCCAGCTGTGAGAGACCAACTGGTGGCTCATATCCCTCCCCTCTGGCCACAGGGCAGGGCAGGGCAGGGTGAGGTGAGAGTTTAGGCTGAGAAGGCAGGGCCACCTCTGGCTCAGGCTGACCTCAGTTCCCCCATTTACACCAGGGCTGGGGACAGGGCCGGGTGACCCGCCTGCCCCACTGCCTAGGGTGTGGCCGATCTCTCCTTCCCGTCCTACCCCACCCATGGCCCAGGTGGACTAGGCCGGCGGGACCCACCTGGCTCCCAGCCTCCCGGAACAGAGGCCTCAGCAGGTGCAACACCCCTTCCTACCTGCCAGGCCCTTGAGTGCAGCAGTGGGTGGGCAGCATTCTGGGAAGCCACTCCCACCGTGCCTTTCTGGAGTGGAGCTGGGGAGGCCTTGCGGCCCCTGTCGGGTGGGGAAGTGGGTGGGGAGCTGCTCGTGGGGAGCACTGATCGGGACCTGTGAGAGACCAGGCCACCTCTCCACTCACCCCTCCCAGGGAGGCCCAGAAAGGGAGGCTTCCCCGGGCTGGGCAGAGCCCACGCACCCCTTAAGCATCCGCCCAAGCCTGCGTCAGCCCCACCCAGGCTCAGAAATGGGGGGGGGGGAGCACGTTCATGCTTCAACAGCCCTTTTCAGCCTGGCCAAGAGCCTAGCCCCAGGGAGTGCCCGGGGAGCGGCCCTCCCCCTGCAGGCTCCAGAGCAGGTGGGAGAAAACCTGACCCCCAGACCAGGAAATGGGCAGCGGAGCGAGGCCCCCAGCCCTTGGATGGATGAGGGTGGTGCCCCCACCACCGTTCACCTCAGGTGGGGGTGTCCTGGGAGCCTCTGCAGGCCGCCACGGCCCCGGGATCTGCACCCTTCGCACCCCCACTCCCCAGGAAGGCCGGGTTGGGGCCACAGAGGCACGTCAGCTGTCAGGGCACAGCCCCCACAGTGACCTGCACTTGCCCTGCACCTTCAAGCCCGTTCCCGCCAGCCTGGAGCGCGCATGTTTGCGTGTGAAATGCAAACAGTCCAAACCCGTGCTGTCTCCCGGGTCAAGCTGCGGTCATACTTCCTTTTCGGCTTCGTTTCTTAAGTGCCGGTTTAGTGGGTCCCAGCAGGGACAGAGTAGGGGTGGTGTCCGGGACCCCACCCGCTCCCCGAGTCTACCACGACCGGCATCCTCCTGGTCACCTGCTATTCAGGGACCGCCTGCACACGGGCTGAGCGCCTGCTGTGTGCTGGGCGCTGCTCAGATACCGGCACACGCTGGGCGGGGAAGATTCAGGCCCCGTCCAGGTCCCTGGGTGCGGCCTGGCCACAGAGACACCGGCCTTGCCCTGCCCTTCGGTCCCTGTCCTGCTACCACCTGGGGTCTCGGCATGCAGTAGGAGGCAGAGGTGGCTGCGTCTACAACAGAGCAATGGCAGGTCGTTTCCACAGCCTGAGGGTCCTGAGCTCATCGCATCTGGCCAGCGGTGACCACGTGCTGCCCCATCCGTCCCTCCCCCCTGCAATTCTCCCACCCCAGCCCAACCTCCCAAGGTCTGGTCCTCAAGTGATGGAAAATGAAGTCAGACCACATTCACAAGCTCAGGCTCCTCCGAGAGAGTGGGCAGGGGAGCCGATTCCAGGCTTAGGGTCTTGGCTACACGGTCACTTAGCCTCAAGCACATACATGCTCTGCAGCCGGCCCAGAGCTGACCTCGAGGGCACTGCTGTCTGAGCAGAGCCAGGGTGACACTCCCCAGGTGCAGTGAGGACCTGGGTAGAGGGAATCTCAGGGGGTAGGGGTGGGGGTTTCTGGGGTGGCCAGAAACCTCCCAGGTGGCTCCCACTACCAGCCTTGGCTAAACCCTTCTCCCACTGAGACCCTGGCTAGGGGTGCTAGGAGTGCAGATGGACATGACCCCACCCTCACCCCCCCAGGCATGCCCACACAGGTGACGCAGACGCCAGCCGGGCCCTTGTCCCCAACCCACGCAGAGGTGGCAACCCGGGTGGCTCAGCGGTTTGGCGCTGCCTTCAACCCAGGGCATGATCCTGGAGACCGCGATCGAGTTCCCCATCGGGATCCCTGCATGGGGCCTGCTTCTCCCTCTGCCTGTGTCTCTGCCTCGCTCTCTGTGTGTCTCTCATGAATAAATAAATAAAATTCTTTAAAAAAAAAAAAACCCATGCAGAGGAGACCGTGGTCAGTCTCTTGTGACCTGGACACTGGACTGGGTCCCAGGAGACTCCTGGGAACCTCCCCTGGTGGCCCTGGCCTGGTGCCTGTTGATCCACCAAACCTGAGCCAGTGTGCTTGGTTTCCTCAGCTTAGCGGGGAGGTGGCCCTGAGGCCGGCAGCCCTCAGGTGGGCCAAGGGACACAAACGGGGCCTCGGCAGGCTGCAGGAATGTGCGGGCAGTGGCTGTGCTGGGAGCCACCAGGAGGAGGGCCCCGGCGGAGGGCTGCCACAGCCTGGCCTTCCCCGGGGCGCAGGAGCAGGTGCGTCTGAGCTGGGTGGGGCCTGGCTCCTCAGGGTCTCCCTCCCCATTTCCCAGGCCAGGGCTCGGTGGGGGCGCACAGCCAGTCGTGCAGAGTGGGGTGCGGTGTCCCAGTGAGGCGGGGCAGGCTCTCTGCAGGCCGCCCAGCAGCCTGGGGTCAGGGGTCAGCGGGTGGGGGGCGCTCAGCCGGGGCTCCTGGAGCGCGGGCCAGGCTCAGGGCACAGCGGTCCCAGCCTCGCAGCCCAGGGAAGGGTTTGCTGCCAGCCCGCGCTTGGCAGGAGGCAAATGCAGGCGAGAGCCAGCTCCACGAGCTCAGGCACTGCCCGCCGATGTGGGGCCCGCGGGGACCTAGCCGGCCGCTGACAGGAGGTGGAGGCCACCCTGCCTGGGCTGTGGCGGGGCCCGGAGGTCAGACGACGTGCGCCTCTGGCCTGGCCGGCTGCCAGCGCCCGCACACCGATACCGGCCTCAGCCCGCAGCGCTCGTGGTCCAGCCAGAAGCCAGCATCCCCGGTGGCCCCCGTGTTCCCACCAACCAGCCCCTCCAATAATTTTGTGAACCCGAATTCCCAGTGGAGAGTCTGTGTTGGCGTCACATCCCTGACAAGGCCCGTTTGCTGATTTGTGGGTACATGGCTGCCTGTGTCTGATCCTCTTCTACGAGCTGGGCTTTCCAGTATATGCAGCCAAACCCAATGCCGATTAAAACAGAACTCAGGGGGCCCCCGGGGGGCTCAATCGGTTAAGCACCTACCTTTGGCTCAGGTCATGATCCTGAGGTCCTAGGATTGAGCCTCACGTCGGGCTCCCTGTTCTGCAGGGCATCTGCTTCTCCCTCTCCCTCTGCTGATCCCTCTACTTGTGCTCTCTCTCTCTCTGTCAAACAAATAAATAATCTTTAAAAAATAAAACAATTCAACAAGGCTGCCCAGTACAAGAAATCAACTTCCAGAAGTCAGTAGAGGAGTAAGTGCTTTAAAAGAAAGAAAGAAAGGAGAAAGAAAGAAAGAAAGAAAGAAAGAAAGAAAGAAAGAAAGAAAGAAAGAAAGAAAGAAAGAAAGAAAGAAAGAAAGAAAGAAAGAAAGAAAGAAAGAAAGAAAGGCCAACCCACAGCAACCAAAACAAAATGAAAAAATCCCCTGCAGGTTCTGAAGAACGAATGAAAGTGCGCAGATTTTCATGGGGAATTGACCCTCAGGGAGGAGGGCAGCAGGGAGATTTCCCTGTGTGTGTGGTGCAGCTTTCCCCTGAAGACATGAGGCTGGCGAGGCTGCGGCGGTGTGTGTGCTGAGGCTCCAGCAGAGATCCCAGCTCCTCTCTGGCTGAAGGACGAAGGAACCCAGGATAAGCAGACACCAGAGAATGAATAGATAATTCTGGAAGGGAGAGACCAGAGGAGGGGACCGCAAATTCTGTCTAAACTCTACCCAAGGCTCTTCAGACTCCTGAATCGTGCATGTGTGGGGCATCCTGGAAACAGCTCGGCTGAAGAGGAAGTATGGGCTGAGACTGGCGTCTGCCCACCTCAGGCTTTGCAGGGCCCCAGCTCCAGCCTGACCAGGTTCATTGGCACCAAAACGAAAGCACTCACAGTCTTCATAGGAATATAACATAATGTAGAGTCCCTACAACCTGATGGTCATGTGTTCACGATAAAATCCAAGATGGTGTCATCTATACTTCACTTAAGAAAAAAATCCAAACTACTTGTCAGAGAGAGAGCCAGGAAATGGTGGCCCATCCTCACAGAAGAAGAATCCCCTGAAGCCAATGTCAAGATGAGTCAGTTATTAGAATTATCAGACAAGGTTTTTTCCTAAGATTTTAAGTACTGTCCACACCCAGTGTGGTGCTTGAACTCACAACCCCAAGATCAAGAGTCACACACCCTACCACCACCGAATGAAGCTACCTGGCGCCCCACAAGGGTTTTTAAGATTTATTTATTCATGAGAGACACACACACAGAGAGAGAGACAGAGAAAGAGAGAGAGAGATACAGGCAGAGGGAGAAGCAGGCTCCATGCAGGGAACATGACACGGGACTCGATCCCTGGTCCCCAGGATCATGCCCTGGACTGAAGGCAGGCGCTAAACCACTGAGCCACCCAGGGATCCCCCCCAGACAAGGGTTTTAAAATGATGATTATAGCTGTACTCAACTGGGTAATGGAAAGTAGGCTCTCATGAATGGAGATGTAGGAAATACATGACCAAATTAGAAGTTTTAGAAATGAAAAGCACACAGTCTGGAATTTTAAAGTCCACAGGATGGGCTTAATAACAAGATTCATGGGCAGCCCGGGTGGTGCAGCAGTTTAGTGCCGCCTGCAGCTCAGGGTATGATCCTGGAGAACCGGGATCGAGGCCCACGTTGGGCTCCCTGCATGGAGCCTGCTTCTCCCTCTGCCTGTGTCTCTGCCTCTCTCTCTGTGTGTGTGTGTGTGTGTGTGTGTGTGTGTCTTTCATGAATAAATAAATAAAATCTTTAAAAAAAATAACAGGATTCATTACTTCCAATTGAGAGTCAGGTGGGAGCTCCTCAACTGCATAGTTCAATGGATTCTGAGGTATGGAAATTTCTTTTGTGAGTGCATTGAGGAGCTGTGGTCTGAGCGCAAAGCATACACCCGTTGCAGATGTGCAAGGGGAGCCCACGTCCTGCTTCGGCTCTGACGGCAAAGGAGGGTATAAATCACATCACTTGCAGGTCACATAACAATTGTTGCTGAAATGATGGTGACACCTTATAGGTCTTAAATATAAGTGCTTCTCTCCCTTGTAATGTTTGGGTTGAAATCATTAGGAGACATCAAGTCTGAAGGAAAAGTAAAATCCTAGAGCAATTGAGTGTGTGAGCATCGAGGCGACAGGAGAAGCTTCACAGTGAGTATACCAGCAGATACGGGACCGTACGCCTCAGACAGGTATGCTGTGTGCTGTGGGCAGTACAGCTCAGGAAAGCTGGGTTTAAGACATAGGCCCAAGGCAAGAATATGCAATGGGAAGAGGACGGGCTGTCCCGCCAATGGTGTCGGGAAAACTGGGCAGCCACATGCAGAAGAATGAAACTGGAGCACTTTCTTACACCATATGCAAAAATAAACTCAAAGTGGATGAAAGACCTAAATATGAGACCTGAAACCATAAAAATCCTAGAGGCAGCAACTTACCTGGCATCAGCTGTAGCAGCATGTTTCTAGATATGTCTCCTAATGGAAAGAAAACAAAAGCAAAACTAAACTATTGGGACTACATCAGAATAAAAGGCTTCTGCACAGTGAAGGAAACAATCAACAAAACTAAAATGCAGCCCATGGGGATGAGAGAAGATATTCGCAAATTACATATTTGATAAAGGGTTACTATCCAAAATAGATAAATAACTTACCAAACTCAATACCCCCAAAATGAATAATCCAATTAAAAAGTAGGCAGGCGGCACCTAGGCGGCTCAGTTGGTTAAGCACCTGCCTTCAGCCCAGGTCATGATCCCGGGGTCCTGGTATCAAACTATCAAACCCCATGTCGGGATTTTTGCTCAGCGGGGAGCCAGCTTCTCCCTCTCCTTTTCCTTATGCTCCCCTCTGCTTGTATTTTCTCTGTGTGTGTGTGTCAAATAAATAACAAATCTTGAAAAAACAAAACAGCAAACTAATTTCCATTTAAAAAAATTTTTAAATAAAAAGTGGGGTGAAGACTCCAACAGACAATATTCCAAAGACATACAAATGGCTAACAGACACCAGAAAAGATGCTCATCATCCCTCATCATCAGGGAAATACAAATCAAAACTACAATGAAATATCACCTCACACCTGTCAGAACGGCTAAAATCAACAATACAAGAAACAACAGGTTTGACGAGGAGGAGGAGGAAAAGGAACCCTCGTGCACTGTTGGTGGGGATGCAAACTGGTGCGGCCACTCTGGGGGACAGTATGGAGGCTCCTCAAAAAGTTAAAAAAAATAACTGCCTTATGATTCAGCAAATTGCACTGCTGAGTATTCACCCAAAGAATACAAGAACACTAATTCAAAGGGATACATGCACGCCGATGTTTACTGCAGCATTATTTACAATAGTGAAACTAGGGAAGCAGCCCAAGTGTCCATCAGCAGATGAGTGGGTAAGGAACAGGTGGGCTACGTCCATATACAAGGGAATATTACTGAGCCATAATAAAGAATGAGATCAGGGGATCCCTGGGTGGCTCAGCAGTTTAGTGCCTGCCTTTGGCCCAGGACGCGATCCTGGAGTCCCAGGATCGAGTCCCTCGTCAGGCTCCCGGCATGGAGCCTGCTTCTCCCTCCTCCTGTGTCTCTGCCTCTCTCTCTCTATCATCAATAAATAAATCTTAAAAAAAAAAAAAAAGAATGAGATCTTGCTGTTTGCTACAAACGGGTGGAGCTAGAGAGTATAATGTCAAGTGAAATAAGTCAGAGAAAGACAAATACTATATGACTTCACTCCTACATGGAATTTAAGAAACAAAGCGAATGAACAAAGGAAAAAAAGAGAGACAAGCCAAGAAACAGACTCTTGAGCAGAAGCAGATGGTCACCAGCGGGAAGGAGGGTAGGAGGAAGGGTTAGGTAGGTGATGGGGATTAAGGAGTGCACTTGTAATGAGCTCAGAGTGATGGATAGAATTGCTGATTCACTATATTGTGGGGCCCCCCCCCACGTGGCTCTGTCAGTTAAGCATCTGCCTTTGGCTCAGGGCATGATCCCAGGGTCCTGGGATTGAGCCCCACATTGGGCTCCCTGCTCAGCTCAGAGCCTGCCCCTCCCCCTGCTCATGCTCTCTTTCGCTCTGAATAAAAAATAAGTAATTCTTTAAAAACTTAATTATTATTATTTTTTATTATAAATAATAATTTATTTATCTAACAAACCATAAGTAATTCCTTTAAGATTTTAAAGAAAGATAAAACAAAGGGACTGACAACGTCAAGTGTTGGCAGAGACAACTGGAACTCTCGTATGTCACTGGTACCTGTTAATACGGTCACTCTTGTTTGGCATTTTCTTAAGAAGTTAAACATACACCTAACTATGCGACTTAGTCATTTTTCCTCTTCCTCCTCCTCCCTCTCTCCTCTCTCTCTTGAAAAAAAATAAATAAACAGCATAACCACTGTTGACAAGGATATGGAGAAATGGTTACCTGTGCATCGCCGGTGAGAACGTTCAATGGAGCAGCCACTGTGGAAACCGGCCTGGCAGCTCCTGAAAAACTTAAACACAGACTTACTACGTGACCCAGCAACTTAAGATACACCCATAAGATTTAAAAATGGACCTCAAGGGGATCCCTGGGTGGCTCAGCAGTTGAGCATCTGCCTTTGACTTGGGGCGTGACCCTGGGGTCCTGGGATCGAGTCCCACATCGGGCTCCCTGCATGGAGCCTGCTTCTCCCTCTGCCTGTGTCTCTGCCTCTCTCTCTGTGTGTCTCTCATAAATAAATAAATAAAATCTTTAAAAAAAAATGGGACCTCAAGCAGATCCTTGTGCTCCCCACAGCACATTAGCCGCAGGAGCCAAATGGTGGACACAGCTCAAGAGCCCGCTGACAGAGGAATAGACCAACAAAAAAATGGGGTGTGTCCGTGCCACGGAATGGGAGTCAGGCATGAGAGGAATGGGGCTACAGGCCACGACGTGGGCAAGCCTCGGGAACATGATGTTCAGCAGAAGCAGCCAGACGTGGGAGGATGCATTTTCCATGTTTTCCATGTCCAGTGACACCGGGTGACTTGGTCTGTTCAACATCTAACACCTGATTTGGGCTCAGGTCAT